GAGCAGATGCTCAGGGAGAAAGGAAGAACTCTTAGTGAACATAGTTGTCCAGCACTGGGCAGATTGATTTAAGTAATGAAAAAGGAGCCTGGTTTTTATTATGTGTGGAAGTCCATCCACATTTCTTTGGTGAAATGATACACTGGGAAAGCTGGAACATAGTAAAAAAAGGATTCTTTACCTTATATTACCTTGGATAAAATATAAAAGATTATATAATCTGGTGCTTTTCAATTGTTTGGTGGCTCCCTTATCATGGAGTTCAGTGTGGTCGTGGCAACTTCTACACCTGAGTTTTAAGCAAAGAACTCCAGACACTGTCAGTCTCCATTTTACCAGGGTATGAGTTGATGATTGTTACCAGCAAGCACCTCTGAAGTGGTATTTTATAAAAGATTATGCTTTGTTGGGGAGTGAGCTCTTACACCAAACACCAAGTTTTATAAGATACCCAAGGACCTTGATGTAAAAATTGCTAATTTTCTGATATGTGCTCCTACTTTTCCTTTAGTACCTTTTTGTCTCTCAAACTGCTAATCTCCAGTTATACTGGTTTCCTCAGACGAAAGGTTCCCAAGACTCATGGAACCCTTTTTTCATTCCATCCATAATATTTTCTGTATTTCTTAAGTACAGACTATATTGCTTACTGAAGTTGGCTCTGGACTTGATACGTTCCTGTCCTGCTATTTTTCATAACCTGCTTTTCCCCTTTTGGTTACAAATAAAGAGGTAGCAAGTATGATTTAGATTGAAGAGGGAATATGTGAAAAATTTTAATCTTCTGTCTTTTGTTTTTGAGAGCTATATAATTATTTAATCAGAAGCTTAAAACTAGGCATGTAGAGTCCTGGTATAAGAAAAGAAATGTGGCTGGGGGCTCCTGAGTGACTCAGTCGGTTAAGCATCTGCCTTCGGCTCGGGTCATGGATCCTGAAGTCCTGGGATTGAGCCCCGCATCAGGCTATCTGCCTGGAGGGAAGCCTACTTCTTTCCCTCCCTCTGCCTGCCTCTCTCCCTATTTGTGTTCTCTCTCTGTCAAATAAATAAAATATATTTTTTTAAATGTGGGAACCAGGAAGACCTACGTAGCCTTCCCAGAGCATTAAATCTCCTTGAGCAGATAAGACATAAATGTATGAAAAGAAAAGGAAAAAAAGGCTTATTAGATAGCCTATTACAAATTTTATTTGACAGAATACTTGCATAGACAGGGCTTTGCATGTGCAGAAAACAAAACATAAACAATTGACATTTAAAAGGGGAGAGTGATAAATGAATTCTGAGGATCAGGAAACTAGAAACCCAAGCTTCATGAGGGCGGGTACCATGTCTGTTCATCATTGCCTGCTCAGTGCCTGCCACTGTCCTGGGTGTAGGCTGTCAGTTAGTATATACTGAGTAAACAAATAGGTATTTGTTGAACAAATTGAAGAGTGCCATGAGCGAGATAATTTATGTGGGCCGAGGTGAAATGGAAAGGCTTGAGAAAATACTAGGAGGTGTAAGTGATGACTAAAAACATCAGTATACCAATGTGATTGGAGCTGTGAGAATGAGTGCAAAGTTCTGGGACATAAGGCTGCTTTGCTAGCTTGGAACCAAATTATAAGCAGCTTTGATTGTTGAACTTAAGATTTTGGGATTTGTTTTTTAAACAAAGTAGAGTTTCTCTGAATGGATAGTAGCATTGTCAAAAAGCAGTGTTTTAGGAATAGTTTGAAAACATAGTGAAGGTTGTGGTGAGGAAAAGACTGGAGACCAACATTGAGACCATTTGTGATGTTGGATAGGAATTCTTGAGACACTAAATAGGTCCTTTAAGATTAATATTTCCTTATATGTAATATATTACATAAAGGTGCTTTTTAAGCCCTAGTGTTTGAACATAATGACATGGCTGTCTTTTTCAGTATTTAATTTTCCTTGGCATTTTGTTATTGATCTCATGGCTTTTCTGTGAGATCATGGTATAAATTTTGAATACATTTGTTCTTACTTGCTTTTTCTTAATGTCAAGCATAGCACATGAGGCATTTCTTGTTGCTCTGCAGCTGCTAAATTCAATACTTAATAAAACTGAATAGCATTAAACTCAGCTAATAGAGGGTAGCAAAATATGGCTTTACAGCTTCTAATTGATAATATTTGTAAGGTTTAACATATGTTACAGATATGAGCAAAATAGGGGTGACCTGTTTACAGCATTTTGATCAGAATTTGGTTAAAGCACCAGATTTTTTCTTGTTTGATTGCCTTTTGGCCTTTTCCCTTTCGTGGTTTTTTGATATGTGGTTCAGTTTTTGTTAGTGTCTATGTGTTATTGACGAAGTTTTTATTTTCTTATTTCAGATTGTTATCTTTTGTAATTTTAAAAAATTTCTTTCTCAAAGCTTTTGCCTTTTTTTTGTTCTGAGTATTCTTGATATATTTACATTTTTCCTTTTCAAGAATTTATGCTTAGTATACAAGTTTGGAATTTGTTATAATTTCATACAAATCCAAGTGAAAGCGTAGTAGATATGCTCTTTGGGACAAGAGCCACCTGTAATCTCCTTTAGCTAATTGCATTGTGTGCTTGGTACTTAAGGTTATTAAAATGCTTTCCTTAGTATTTGTATAATAGGGTTTTACAGTTGGAGTCAGACAGACTATAGGATTCATTTAAGGGAAGAAAAAAAAAAAAAACAACCAGTGTTGAGAATATCTAGTTTGTAGGCCCAAGATAGCTAGGATCTAGCAATTCCTTTTTCCTTCTCTTACCACATCTATCTAACCTCTAAACCCCCAGTTCAACCCTTTCTCCTCCCTAATGTGGGGAGGAGAGGCCATAGTAAATCAGTGGGAAAAGTTCTGATTATAGTAGGCAGATAGTAAAAGGCACAGATAACTCTAATTTGGTTGAATGGGTAGCTTGATTTTGTTAATGTCCTTGGAATAACTGATGGGAAGAAATTAAAGAGAGTTGAAAAACAATTGCTTCTTGATAACAAATGAAAAATCGAGAGTCTAGAAAATAGTATAGAAAAATTAGCTCTAACTACAGTGTTGATAATGCAAACTCTGCAGATTACTCTATTGAAAAGAGTGGTTTTAATACTGTGGACCCCCCCCCAAAAATCCTTTACACTGCATTATTATTCTTAAATTTCAGTCTTTTTAATTTTTTTTTTTTTATGATCTTATTTCTAAGAAATCTCTACACCCAGCGAGGGCCTCAAGCCTACAACCCTGAGATCAAGAGTCTCATGCTCCACTGAGTGAGCTTTCTAGGCTCTCCTGTGTTATTTAATGAAATAAAATACTCTTTCTAAGGACCATCCTTCTACCCCTTTGTCTTCAGAACCCTTTATGGCGATTGTGATAAAGAAATGCTAACTGTGTGTGTGGATTTCATGTATCCACCTGGGTATAGTATTTTAAATTAGTGGGTCTCCCTTTCTTTTGACAATAAGAGTACTTATTTTCTTTTTTTAATTTAAGTTTTATTCAGGTAACATACAGTCCAATATTGATATCTGGAATAGAATTCAGTGATTTATTGCTTACATACAAAACCCAGTGCTCAATCACAAAATGTGCCCTCCTTAATACCCTTCACTCATCCCCCCACCCATATCACTCCATCAACCTTCCATTTGTTCTCTCTCTTTAAGATTTTCTTATGGTTTATTTCCCTCTCTCCTTTTCCCTCCTTCCGCCCCATATGTTCATCTGTTTTCTTAAATTCCACATGAGTGAGATCATAAGATATTTGTCTTTCTCTGACTGACTTTTTTCACTTAGTGTTAGTAATATACTCTAGCTCCACCCACATCCTTACAAATGGCAAGATTTCATTCTTTATGCTGGCTGAGTAATATTCCATTGTAACTTTTTTTTTTTTAAATTATAAACCTGTAAGTGATAGTAGACTATGTGACAGAATACTTAGTGCCACAAAATACAAAGTACATACTAGAAATTCAGTAATGCTTTTTGTATTTTCTTGATTACAGTAGCATTTTTATGCATTTGAAAAGTACTATGTGTACTGAATGTACAAGACATTCTTTCTGAAGCTCATGCTTTAAGTTTATATGGATTCATGGACCCTTTGTAACTGTTTGAACTCCCAGTGAGGTCCATAGTTTGGGAAGCACTACTACTCTTAACCCATTATTTCTTTTATGTTATATAAAGGTACAGTCTGATTCCTTTCTTCTTTTCACTCCTTTTTCTCTTAATGAACAAGGGGAAACAGCAAGATGGCCAAGATTTTAAAATTGTTTTCATTGAGTTGATCAGCGGTGTTTGAGGTAATAAATGAGAAAAATTTTTATATACTGGTAAAAGGTGATAATATTTTAAATATTGATGTATAGGTATATATGAATTTTTTGTGTGTATAGCTAGTGGGTTCTACCTTCATAAAAGAACCAGCAAGTAGTTACTGTGGCAATGTGAAATAATTACAACGTCGTTTTCTTTTAAAATACTATGTTGTGACCTTTTTCTTTAGTGATAAAGGTGTTCTCAGTGAGTATTTTGCTTCTTCAACTGTTAGCTTGAAAAACCTATGACCTCAGTTGATATTCAGAAACATGCTATTTAGATTAATGTAGAATGCTGTGGAAATTTGAAACAATTTGACCTTTTATTGGGAAAGGTGCCTTTTTAAAAATGGAGTTTGGGCATTTATGTAGGGAGGTATTGGGATTTTTGTAAAATGATAAGAGAACCCATGAATTTCCATTCATTCTTTGGTTATTTCTAGTGGTGTCTGTTTTGTATTGTTCTTGAATGTGCTTTGAATTGGTATTGATTAACATTCAAATCATGGACAGAACTGCAAATGCTTCTTTTAGATTTGTCATTGACACTCTTTCCTCAGCATCCTTTCGTAATCTGGGGATCCTTGAGAACTGGCAGAATACACTATCATTTTTTCAGCAACAGATTGATATTACATTACCATAGGGAGTATTATTGTAATTTGGATTTTTTTCTTATCCTTTCAGGGTTTGAAAGTATTCTTGAAGGGCTGTTTGGACCTGCATTATTAAAAGATCTCAGTTTATTTAAAGGTATTCAAATTCTTTTTTTTTTTCTTTTGGTATTTCAAATTCTTCCTCATGACATATATGATATTTTTGTGATTTAAGCCTCCATCTCCTTTTTATTCAATTTTATGTGAGATAAAGCTGTATCCTTGTAAGCATCTTTTTGTGTTGATAATGCAAATACATGTATTAAGATACATATACCAGTGAGCAGTTCTTAAGAATTTTAAGACAAATAAGGAAACCGTCTACTATTTAGGGTTTTTGTTCTTGTTGTTAAATATTTTTTATATTCTCATTTGTTTCCTAAAAAATTCCTTTTCTTGACTGTTAATTTAGTATTCCCACTGTTTTTGCAGACTGTGAACCTGAAAACATTTCTGATTGGACTTTTGATGAAAATTGTCTATTCTGTTGCTTGAGAAGAGATAAAGTAAAGGTAACCAAAAAACTTGTGGAACTTCCCTAGAGTGGTGTTTTATGGTTTTTATTTTTTCAAAATTTGATTACTTTGTTGGAAGATTTATAGGAAAAGGAAGATGTGATTCCATATTTATTTATAAAAGATTTGTTAGTAACTCAGTTTTGGTATTTAGACTGCTTCTAGTATGTTGATTAGCCTATTGAGAAATCTGTATCCCACCATGCATTGCTTTATTTGTATAGTTCACTAGGCAGAATAATTAGCTAGATCTCAAACTGTTGGTTTATTTTAAATATGAAGTACATGATAATTCAAGCACTGGGAGTCATTTGTACTAAAAGCAGTAATATGGATATGGGTCAAGTAGTTACAGTTCCTGTAGCTTTATGACAAACTGTGGTTTATGCTTTAGTATAAGATGTTACTTTATACTATTTGAGCATGAATGCTGTTTAATTGTAAAAATCAGCTATACCTTTGGGTTTCTGTTTTTATTGCTCTGTGTTAAATATTAATGGAGTTTTGGTTTAGAAACATATTTCAGTTGTTGGAAATATTTATTAATAATGGTTTCCTATCTTACTTTTTTTTTTTTAATGGTACTTCTGGTCCCTGTTTTGTTTTATTTTATTTTATTTTTTTAAGTAGGCTCCACGTCTAGCGTGGATCCCAGTGGTAGGCTTGCACTCATAACCCTGAGATCAAAACCTGAGCTAATATCAAGAGTCAAATGCTTAACCGACTGAGCCACCCAGGTGCCTGTGTTCCCTGTTTTATTTATTTTTTGTCAGAGTGAGAACGAGAGGGAGCAGGGGATAGGGGTAGAGGGAGAAGCAGACTCCCCACTGAGCAGGGAGCCCAATGTGAGATTCAGTCCCGGGACCCTGGGATCATGACCTGAGCTGAAGGCAGACACTTTACCACCCAGGCACCCCCCTGTTCCCTGTTTTAAAGCTTCGGAAATGTTTTTAATTCCTCACCCCGCCTCGTAGGCTTCTAACAGAATCATTGACCAGATTCCATAAATTCTTCCCTCATACGGAGTTTCATTCTTTTTTTTCCCCACAGTCATTACTGTAGTTCATACCATTAGCATTATTTCTAGACTACTGAAATAACGTGATTGGTCTTTTTTAGTTTTCTTCAGTCTTTTAAACACTGCTACAAGCTTAAACTCCTTTTCCCCCCAGCCCTCATCCCTCAAATAGTGTGGAAACATTATCCCATGCTCCGTTTCCAGTGACTTTTTTTCATTGTATTCTGGATTCATTAGCCTAATGTTCTCGGCCTCAGTACTCTCCACAGGTCAGTCCACTTGTCTTTCTACTGCTGCCCTCTTTTTAATGATACCCCACAAGTCTTCTGTACAGTTTTCTTTCAGATAAACTGGTGCAGTCGTTTGTAGTAAACAACATGCTTTTACTACTTAGACTGTAGCATTGCATACCAGTTGTTCTTTATAGCTTAAATTCTTCTGCCCTTAACTCTTAGCTTAAGCGTTCAGCCTCCTATCCATATCAGTGGTATACTTCTGCTTTTACTGCTGTCTCAACCCTTCACACTGTTGTAGTATTAATAACAATTATTTGTCAATTAAAAGTCTGCCTTCTTTTGTTCCTCGTTTTCCGTGTTTGTGTCTTATGTTCTGAAGTACATTGTCAACCTCTGAACACTGAACCGTGTTGTGTATTCTTTGTTACCCCTCCTTGTAACCACTGTACCATTATTTACCATTGTTAGCAAATTGCTTTAAAATCTGAAAGCCAATTTAAGAGCTTTTCAGTGTGGTTTCCTTTTCTAGCTTACTACATGAAAGTTGTTATTTTGGCTATCCAGGATGGTTTGTTATCACTGAATTAATGTGAACAGTGTTTTGAAATTCAGTGTGGTTTGAGAAAGAACATAAATTAAGTATCAGTGAAGTTGTAATTGATCACTTTAAACTGTGTGTGTGCATGCATATGCATGCATGTTGTGGCTGTTGAACAAGTCATTTAAGAGGCATTTTCGTGGAGTAGAAGGAGCAGCTATTAATTATCTTTTTTAGGGTAGGGTTGGGAAGAAAGCCCTTCTGTGTTCAGTAATTGAGTACAGTATATTCTTGTAATATGATTGAGTTTTCCATTGCTATGTGAGGTAAACTATTGTATGAGTATTTTTAGAAGACAGAAATAGCAAGGCATGGAACCATGTAGCATTTAAAACAGCTGTTCTTATTATTTTTATTCCTCAATTTCTAGTTGCTTTTCTAATTAGAAAGAATATTTCCATTTGACAATTTAGCTAGTTCTCAGAAAGCTGATGTTTTCTGTTAGACACTATTTATCTTTAGCATTTATTTTTTTCAGACACAGCCATAACATCTATAGCGGAAAATAGGAAAAGTAGAAAGCTTATTAGAAGATGTAAATTGTCAGCTATGTATCTCTAATTGTGTTAGACTTAAAGTGATTGAACTAAAACTTTTTGAAGGCACTTGGAGCATCTCATCTGAAAAGAACTAGAATATGGAAGTAAATATATCCAGTGGGTTGAAGCTTGTGCTTTTTAAGTTTGGCTTTAAGAATCCAAGAGAAGGAAATCTCTGCAGAGTATGGTAATAGCCAATAGGTGGCAGCATAGAGCATAATAGTGGAATCTTGAGTTTGAAGGTGGCATGTTGAGATATCCAGATATTTGGAAAAGCTGTTAGAAATATTGGTCTGATAGTTGGGAAAGAAATGGAGGTTATGCATGTTTTTTCTTTTGGACTTTTGTGTATATACAGGAGCTGTTAAAATGGATAGAGTAAATGCATACAATTTTTTATACTTATTTTATAAAATGCATAGGTAAAAAATACAGAGTAATCTCTTTGGAAAATAGAACAGGGGTTCACCTGGAGATAAGTAAAACAATTGTTGATCTACCCTTCAAGAGTCTATAGTGGTTAGAAAATGAAATTTTTAAGGGATATGAAAGTAACATTTTTTTAATATCTACTATGTGCCAGTTACTTTACTTGTTCCTATTTAAATCCTCACAAGAATTGTATAAAGTTGGTTAAGGGCATCCCAGTTTTAAAAATAAGAAATTTGAAGGATTTGAGAGACTATTATAGGCAACGTCATATGGCTTGAATTTGATCCATGTTTTTAGAATATATGCATTTTGATAACTAGAATAGGATCATTAACAGCAGGAATTAAACTAGAACTTGGAATGACTCAGTTTGAAAGAGAGAAGAGAAACAATGTAAATGGACATGAGTGTATTTGAAATAGCCAATCTCAGCTATGCCTAGGAATCTACTAGTGAGTACGTGCCTCACTGGCTGCTTTCTTTCTTTTCTGTTGGACACATACTGGGCACTCTAAAATATTTACTAAATGAGTAACTTTACTAAATAAGGTTTAATATACTTGAATTATATTAATAGCTAATTTTTGAGTGCTTACATGTGACAAGCATATACACACAGTTGTCTGTTATATATGTACACACTCATCAGGCTTTTATACTTTTTTTAGCTTCTTTTTAAAAATAACTTTAGACTTACAAAAGTTGCAAAAACAGTAAAAAGAGCTAATGTATACCCTTTGCCCAAACTTTCCAAATGTTACCATCTTATATAACCACAATACAGTTATAAAAATCAAAAGAAATTAACATTAATGCTATATTATTTAATCTATAAACCTTTCACAGTTAGCCAGTGATCTCAATAACATTATGTTTCTGGTCTAGGATCCAATCTAGGATCACACTTTATGTTTAATTGTCATGTATTCTTGGTCTCCTTTAGTTTGGAATAGTATTTTTTGCTTTGCCTTTCATAAATTTTGAGAATACTGACATTGGTTTATACAGTGTTGCTTCGATTTAGGTTTGTCTGATGATTCCTCATGATTGATTTTAGGTTATGCTTTTTTGGCAAGAATTCCACAGAATAACGTATGATCCTTAGTGCACCCTATTGGGAAGCACCTGGTGATGTTTTCCTTGATCAGTTAGTTAAGGTGATGTCTGCCAGTTTTCTCTATTATAAGGTTTTTATTTTTTTTCCACTTTCAGACTTAATAGGTATCTTGTGGAGAGGTACTTTGAGATTTCATAAATATCTTTTTCATCATATTAGTTTCTCATCGTGTACTAATTTTGGCACCCATTGGTGAATGTTGCTTGAAAAATTACTACCTACTCTTTACCAAATGATGATTTTCTATTATTCTGCTTCTCTTAGTTGGAATTCTACTCTAAGGAAGACCTTTCCCTTCTCTATATTTATGTATTTATTTACCTATCAATACAGAATCATGGATTCTTACTCTAGGAATTATAATTCATTACAATCATTTTTATAGTTCAATGTCCTAGATTTGACCATTAAGAGTTCTTTCAAGTTGGTTCCTCATCTTTTTTTTTACAAGTTTCTATAATTTTTTTTTTAAATAGCACCTCTTTTCTCTTTTGGTACCAGAAAATATCCCAGACTTACTTTTGCTTTCTCTGTCTCAGCTCTGGATTTCTCCAAAGAACTTTAGTTTCTTCTATTTAGAAAATTGTATAAGAAAGCAAGGTCTAGGCACTAGGTATCTTTACTGATAGGCACTAGGTATCTTTACTGATACTAGAGGATCATTACATCTTGGTCTCCTTGGTTGCCTGAGCTAGGAAATGCGTATTTTTACTAAATATATGTACATATACATCTGTATTTCTGTATCTACTAAAAACCATCTTACGAGGCTTTTATTAATTGTGTTGGTAGTATGAAGAGTCAGTTGAGTATTGTGAGAGGGGGTTGGAGAGATAAGAAGAATAAAACATTGCTTTCAGTACTTATTGTCCCTAAAAATGGACTAACTCTAAGTGATAAATAAATCTATGGTATAGCTGTGCTTGTTTTGCTGAAGTAGAGTAGAGATAGCGCTTGTAGAGTAAAGAGCATGTCTATTTTACTAACTAGGGATAATGGGAGAGAAGATGTAATACCAAAATCTAAAATAATTGTGCTCTAAGGAAATTTGTTATAA